TATTTTTTTTTTAAGTTTATTTATTTATTTTAACATTTATTCACTTTTGAGAGAGTGAGACAGAGCATGAGCGGGGGAGGGGCAGAGAAAGAGGGAGACACAGAATCCGAAGCGGGCTCCAGGCCCTGAGCGGTCAGCACAGAGCCCGACGTGGGGCTCGAACTCACAAACCGCGAGATCATAACCTAAGCCAGAGGTGGCCGCTTAACCGACTGAGCCACCCAGGCGCCCCATGATGAATTTAATTCCTATATTATTTATCCCCTACCAGCTCTATCAAGAAGCCAGTTGTAGTCCCTTAAACTGCAAGCTGAATAAATTATAAGTAACATATTTTAAATATTTCACTTAACATTTGAAATCAAAACAAATTAAGTAGACCAATAAAATGAGGTTAAAAGTTCTAGAAAAAGCTGTTCGATGTAAGTACCATTTTTTTTATTACACAAAGTTTTTTTTAACGTTTATGCATTTTTGAGAGAGAGAGAGAGTGAGGGAGCATGAGCTTGTGTGCACCAGTTGGGTAGGGGCCGAAGGGGGGCAGGGGCAAAGGATCCGAAGTGGGCTCCAAGCTGACAGGAAAGAGCCCGAGGTGGGGCTCCGACTCCTGAAGTGTGAGATCATGACCTGAACCAAAGTCAGATGCTTAATCGACTGAGCCACCCGGGTGCCCTTGTATGTGCTGTTTCGAGTGATAACTTAGGTATAGCATTTCCACGTTAACACATTGTGTCCTAAGGGTGTGCTCGTTTACTGTCAATTTTGTTGGGATTGAGGACACTGAACTCAGTTGAAATAACTTCATGCGGTATTAAAGGTCAGTGTTTCATTCCATCACGTGGGCGTACAGCATAGCGATAATTCTTTACAAATTGACCGGTAACCCCCCCAGTGATTCCTTCAGACTTTTATCACTGGTTCTTAGAAACAAGTGGTTCTCATGTTGTGAAATCAAAGGAAGAGGAAATTCATCATTGGAAAGGTAAATACTATGCTTGTTTCATTTGTCCAGTGGGGAAACAAAAGATGGAAATAAAATCAACACCAAAAAAAAAAGCACCCCGGGGTTAACACTGGGATCTGGAAGTTGCCGTCTTGAACGCTGGAGTTCCTAGCAAACTTGTCACCTGTGGATTGGGTTCTGATCTTTACTAAAACTTTAGTCCCTCCCTTGGAGAGTTCATCTGACACTTAGATCTGGTAGCAGCCGGAAGTCAGTGGGGTGTTCTGATGCCCTCCATGTGGGCACGTGTGTGGGGCGTGGCCCTGGGAAGATGGGAGCCAGCAGGTCCCAAAGAGTCTTCATCACGAGGTGCAGCATTGTCACGATCTGGTTAAACTTGTTTCTGGAACCCGACTGCCCGGGTCAAGTACTCTATCTTGTGATGCTGGGCTAGTTGCTACTATGCCTTCGGGCCTTCACTTCTCCGACTTGACTTTGCCAACAGTGGCTGCCTCTGGGGGCGTTCGTGAGGGAAACCGAGATCGTCCACGTAAAGCGCTTGTGTCTCGGCAGCACGGGGCGGACCGTTTTCTCCTTCCCTCCTCCACATTCTCTGGTGGGACACCGGGTCACGCTTGGGGTCTAGTGAAGGCTGGGGACGATGCTTCCCGGGGAGCCATTCTTGTCTGAGAAAAACATTTCCTTCTTAAAACCTTTTTTTTTCCCCCCCCGCAAAGGAATGTCGTAGTCAGTAATTTCGAGAGTGGTGATTTGCCACGAAACACAGTCCAAACTCCTAGTTCAATCTTGTGTGTTTTGTTTACAGGGGACACGGGTCTGGCTGAGAGAAAATGGCCAGCATTTTCCGAGTACTGTCAATTCCTGCGCAGAGGGCATCGTCGTCTTCCGGACAGACTATGGTCAGGTGAGCTTGACCTGCAGCCTTCAGGGTGCCCGTGCTCCGCCTCCCGGGGTTGTCTTCCACTAGAGCATGCGTGTTCGCTGCCCCCACCCTCCATACCTTAAAGAGTTGTTTCTAAGTGGGAACACCAAATCCCGGAAAGAATGTGTAACATACACCGTCGCGTGTGAGATGCAATCCAATTCTCCAAATGGAACACACACGGTGTTCTAGCCAGTACAGGGCAGAAAAGCGCTAGACTTGGCTGATTCTCTCCCCCGGGAATCCCGCCAAAGGATCCAGAAGGACAGGGGTGCAAGCATTTGAGAAAAGTTGCCCAATTATTGATACGTGCATCTTGGTTTCATTTCCACTTTCCCTTAAAATTCTGAGATTCCTGAGAGGGTTGGAAATAACGCGTCTGCCAGTGAGAATGTGGGCTGCTTCTGGTTCCCCGTTCTTTAGTGTAACATGAAGGCTGTAGTATCACTGAAAACAGACAGGTGAATTCAGAAACCGAATATTACATTTGGGCAGTTGCGAAAGGAGGCTGGTGTCTCTATTTTATAAAGGAAACGAATTTGAATGCTACAGAGGGATCCCTTTTTCAGAGGCACATATCAAAATTTAAGACCCCTGCTGGAGGGGTGTTGGCTGGGGGGGATGGGCTAGATGGGTGATGGTCATTCAGGGGGGGCACTTGTTTGGGATGAGCATTGGGTGTGATGTGTAAGTGACAAATCACTAAATTTTACTCCTGAAACCATTATTACACTATATATTCATTACCTTGGACTTTAAAAAAAAAAAAAAAAAGGAATAGAGGTTGATGTAGTCTTAAGAAGGCTACACTGAATATCCTGAAAATCAGGGCAGAGGGCAACTATTCAGCAAGCGATTGTAAAATAGCAAGCCGTTATTTGGTAAGTGACAGTAAAAATCGCTGTTAGTTTAATTGTAAAGTAGGAGAGGTGTCATAGTGTTTGTATCCCAAGTCGATGACTTGGATAAAACTAGGTTTTACCCAGTGGTAAACTTCAAAAGAAAAACTTGGAAAGGCATATGGTTACTTAAATCAAAATGGAAATGCACTCCTGTTTTATCTGCCTCTGTCAGGTCTTGAATACGGTCTTTGTCCAAAAACAACCTACTTGTTTTACTACTATATTCTAAGTATATCAGTACGACCAAAGGACTCAAAAAAAAAAAAAAAAAGATTTAAGACCTGAAGAGAGAAGGGGGTCATAATGCCCAGTATTTAAAGCTCACAGGTTCTGAATCTGGTCTGCAAGGTTGTTGAGAACAAAAGCTTCGGTGTCAGTGTTGAGTTGATTAAGGCCAGGGGGCTGCTCGCGTATTGAAACTTCTCAGAGATCGTCCACTTGGTACGTTTCTCATTTCTTGGCTTGATAAACAGCGATGTTCCTGGGCTGTTTTGCGGTTCCTCAGTTTCTTTCTCATCTGAGACTCTTGAATAGTTGCTCAGCATTCGGTGGTAAAGACCTAGCTGTGTTTCGTAGGTGTGGATTGCGGGGAACGGACAGAGACGGCCAATGGATCCCGTGTCTGACGGTCACGGCCAGCGTGGATGCCGTGCTGCTCCCCGGGCTGGTTGCTTTCTCATCACATTCTCGGGTTGTACAGTATGATCTGTAAACTAAGGACAGGCCAAGTGACTTTTGCCCAGCTTTGGGTCACGCACTGCTTCAGTGTTTCCAATGCCACGCAGAGCTGGTCTGCCTCTGTCTGTCTTGCCATTATTCTGTCCCTCTTCCCTTCCTACTTCCTCCAGATGAGAATTCCCTTCCTTGTAGCTTCTGTGCCTACTTCTTAAGGTGATGTGGAAAAGGAGAACAGTGTTTAAACAGTGCACCTGACTTGATGTAACTCGGTTCGTGAAAGTGTCGTGAAATAGATTTTTAGTAGAATTTTCTTTTTTTATGGACTTATTTTTTGATCCCAAAGAGAATTCTTTTTTTTTCTTTTTTTTTTTATGTTTATTTTATTTTTGAGAGAGACCGATCGACAGAGTGCGAGCGGGGGAGGGGAAGGCACAGAATCCAAAGCAGGCTCCAGGCTTCCGGCTGATGGCACAGAGCCAGATGTGGGGCTCCAGCTCTCGAACTGTGAGATCATGACCTGCGCCAAAGGTGGACACTTAACCGACTGAGCCACCCAGGCGCCCCGATTCGTGTTTTCTTTTTAACTCTTCCCCCACCTCTTTTTAACAAAATTGCAGCAAAAACACGTTAAGCGTAGACTTCAGCAGTGTTGCATAGCACTCCGTGAGCAGAGGTGGCATGGGCTGGTCAGGCCAGTAGTTCTGGTCACTGTTGACAGTATTTAGGGATTGTGGGCTTAGAAAGAACTAAACCAGAATAACATGCACTTAAACATGAAAGCAGCTCTCAACTTTGACTTCTAATCTTCCTTCCATCGGGCATCAAATACTTGGTCTTGGATTGTCCACTCTGTCATTCCCAAGTATAATTAGCTTGGAGATTTGTGTAGGAATTACAGGGTTTAAGATACAAGAAGAGTGACACGAGATGGAAAGAACTGGGTTCATACCAGGATCAAGAATTGAGAGTGGCAGAGGACTCTAGTATCTTTCCTTCCTGACCGACTTCTTCCTCTCCCCACATCCCAGGTTTGCGGTGGGACATATGGGTGTGTTCACCAGGGATTAGGGCAAGTTCATGAACTGGTTCTGGTCCCCAGGACAGGAACAGCTACTCCTTAACTGGGCAGGGACAGATTCTGGAAGGAATCAGGGTCAAAGACACAGAGCGTGGCCTTGTCCTGGTCAAGCCTGACTATGGTAACTTTGGAAGGTATTGGCTGAGAGAGAGAGAGAGAGAGAGAGAGAGAGAGAGAGAGAGAAGAGAGACAGGATCCAAAGCAGGCTCTACACGGACAGCAGAGAGCCAAATGCGGGGCTCAGACTCACCAACCGAATGGTGAGATCATGACCTGAGCTGAAGTCGGAGGCTTAACCGACTGAGCTGCCCAGGTGCCCCAGTTTTTTCTGCATTTTTAAAAACAATTCTAGTGACATTTTTGTTACTAAAACGTGAACTTTCCCAACAGCCTAGGAAACTACTAGTTCGCCCTCTCATACTTCACGGGAATCACCTTGGCGGTCTTCTTCAGATGCACATTCGGATTGACAGGTCTGGGGTGGGGTCTGACGGAGGGCTTTAGGTAAAGGTGGAGAGGGGTGCCTGTGTGGCTCAGTCAGTTAAGCATCTGACGTGGGTCATGATCTCCCCGGTTCGAGCCCCGCGTAGGGCTCTGTGCTGACAGCTCAGAGCCTGGAGCCTGCTTCGGATTCTGTGTCTCCCTCTCTCTGCCCCTCCTCCGCTCACACTCTGTGTCTCTCTCAAAAATAAATGAACGTTAAAAAAACCCAAAAAACAAAAAGCTGGAGAACTTTCCTTTGGCTTCCAAAGCTCTTCCCTTCCCTTTGCTCTGTGCCCTCCCTTCCTAGGATCTTTTCACCCCGAGCATGGCCGGGTTGGGCCAACTGCCACAAAATGATGCTCGAGTGGACCGCAAAGCAGTTTCTGAGTCCTGTTTGGTGTGGGAAGCCCAGCAGAGCCATGTGTGACTTAAATCCTCAAGTGGGACCTCAGGGACCCTGGCTAGGGGATGATAATAGTGTGTCGTTTTTGGTGAGAGCACCGAAGGGCACGTTCTCTGATTTCATTGGGTTGCTGAGAATTGTGTGCGCGTGCTCAGCCTTTTTTTTTTTTTTTTTTTTTTTTTTGCCAGGGAGATAGTTTTACTGTTAACTTAAAATTCCATTCCACACTAAAATTTAAACTACTGTAGGTTGGTCCAGGGAATAGAGAGGACCAGAATGTTCCCATTTGATTTATAACTTCTGCTCTCCTCGCGGGGAAGTATTTGCAGATGGAAAAAGAAATGTGCAAGAGACATGCTAACAGGCTTTGTTGAAACATACGCATAGTTGTGGCCTGTGGAGGACACAGCGCGCATGGGCAGGTTAGCACTTGCCCTGAAAGTTACTTACAAGCATACGCTCTTTTATTGCACTTTGTTTTGCTGAGCTTTGCAGTGCTGTGGGTTGTTTTTTGGGGTTTGTTTTTCTTTTTTAGTGTCTTCTTTTGTTTTTCGTTGTTTGTTTTCAGATTGGAGGTTTGTGACAACCCAGCGTCAGCAAGGCTGTTGGTGACATTTTTCTAACAGCATTTGTTCGCTTTGTGTCTCTGTCACATTTTGGTAATTCTTGCGAGTTTTCAGACTTCTTCATTTTCCTGTTTGTTATGGTGGTCTGTGATTCTGACTCCTTGAAAGTTCAGATGATGGTTAGCATTCTTTTAGCAAGTATTTGTACATTCAGGTATGTATGTTATCTTTTAGGCCTGTCGCCTTCATAGATTGTGGTAGTGCAGTCACTTCTTGGCCTGGTGGCTACCACAGTGTAGTGTAAACTTAACTTTTGTGTGCATCGGGAAACCAAAAAATTCATTTGAGTCACTTTTTTTGCGATGTTCGATGTGCTGTGGTGGTCTGGAACCGAACCTGCGATCTCTCCGAGGTACACCTGTACCTCTTGGATGCTAAGCTGCGGACAGAGTCTCAGAAGAACACCCTGGCTTAGCAGGGTACAAGTATGGGTAAAAGATCAACTCTTAGGAAAGCATAGCATGGAAGACAGCCTTGAACAGCCTTGAACACTTCTGGAACATCCACGAGGTGCACAGGCAATCAGTATAGCACCCTCTAGGAGCGTTGTAAATTGAGTGATAAGTTCTAAATTAGATTTTTCACTTTGAGAGTAAGCTCTATTATCTTTTCTGAAAAGCACCTAATTTGATTGCTCGGGAAAAAGCTTACAGTGATATAATTTACCTAATTGTGTTTTAAGGGGTAGTTATTTAACTTACCCCAGTAAACTTAATCAAGACGATTACTCTTTGCAGTGATTCTGTTGGGTTTTTTGTTTGCATTGTCTCTCTATGGGGTCTTCAGAAATATTTTCCTGGCTGGGGATTTAA